TCATGTTCATGCATTATGTATGATAGGATCCATTAATAACCCCACTTGTCTCTCAGCTAATTAAATAAATGAAGTAATTTATATTCAGTTGATTAATGGGGGAATCTAACAGAGATATAGAAGTTAAAGGAGCTCTCATAATGAAATTATAGGATGACGTCTTACATTTTCCTACTTTGTTTGCATTTGTAGATCTAAAATGACTTATTTTGACAATCCATTTTGCTTGTCTTCTCTGTCACATTGATCAGCTACTGTCATCCAAGACTTCAGTTGCGGGCTCTACACCTAATTGATTTATTTTAACATTCATATGGGCCTTTTTAGACTATACATTTACGCACCATGTGGTCTGAGAAATACGATAAAAGTAGTGTTCAATACAAGATATGCCATATGGCAAGAATAACGTATATAAATCTAATTCTCATATTTTACTATGTAATATCTTTAATATTACCACAACCTGTCTAGACATAGGCTCTTACCAATGCACTTAGCATACCTTCCCATGTTCCATTTCAGTGATTTAGGAAGCAGTGAAGTGTCCACTTCTCCTGCTTGTGGGAAGCGCCTGTCCAGATCTCTTTGCTCAAGCATTATCTAACGTTTCAAAGACTTCCTCTTTAGCAATGCTATCAGCCAGAAACTGGCCTCTGAGGTCAGCTGCCTCATCTTAGAGTTTGGATGCCAAGACATTTAGTCTCCGAGATATTCTGGGTAGTTCATGTTTAATACTGACTTAAGACCAACAGTTATCCAAACCTGAGACTTTAATTATGGATGTATGATGATATTGGAATCATATTCGTATCAGCAGATAATTTTTGACACTATAGAGACGTTTAGGTGTAACTGATAATTCTAACCAATATTTGATGATGTATTTACTGTGCTTTACGGTAGAGCAGAACATTTCAGCAACGCTGGGCTACTGTGCTAAAATGTCTACATTTATGTCTTTCAGTGGATTTGTAACCCTATAGAAATTAATTTTGTATTCCAGGAGAATGTAGTCTCAATTTCTGCATTTTATAGATCTGGACATTAGGGCTGTCATGATCATGAAATTTTAGCCAGCAGTTAATCGTCATATAACTAATTGCAAATAATGATTTTGTTGTCTTTTCTTTTTGTTTTGAAACTATTAATGTACAAGCCTAAATGGCCAAATTGGTTGTTTATCCACCTTACTTGCAAGCTGTGTTAAGTTAGTACCTAACACTGTACTGTAGAATCAGTACTGCACGCACACTGTCATTGAGCAAAGCTACGTGTTTTTCACAAGAGTGAAAATATAAGTCAGTGTACATGCTAAAAACATTAGAATTAGCTGCAAAGCTAGCAAATAGACAAGCATTCACCAGCGCTGCCCTCTAAACATGTGAAATGACTGGTTCGGAGTTAGAACTTTTTAATTTCATCAGTTCTATGATGTCTCAGTGAATGCATTTATTGCTTACTTTTATTTGCGTTTATTTGCCTCAACTCAACACACCCAACTCACATTTTGTTTGTTGCAGCACAATATTTCTGTGAAATCTTAACGACTTTGGAAAAAGATTGTAGTCAGCTTAAATGACTGTGATAATCTCAAATAATTGTGATTAAGTGATTATGTAATAATTATGACAGGCCAACCGTATGTGAAAAATATTGGGTAAGTTTTACATTTTACATTACTCATGCCTCAAACTGTGCTCTTTATACTACTAACGTGAGTGAAATAATAATCAGTTCAATGCTATATTTACTGCTGAATATGTGTCTCCATACGGAATCATAATATAATCAAGGCAGACGTGCAGAGGACCAGTATTTCCATTGCAAAACTGAACATGAAGACAAAGCGGTCTCAAACCGACAACTCCAGGCAACTTCGAACAGCCCCTGCTTTGTGACCACCCCTCTGTACGAAACCGCCAGGGTCTGTGTGAAAATATGAAAAACACCCGCGCAGGAAAGATCTGTATGGAAAAAACGTTAGAGGCTCGGATCATTTTGAGGTGACAGGAAATAAGAGGGAAAGTTCTAGTGAGGCTGGTGACGGTTAGGTTGAAAAGCGCGCTTGTGCTCAGTCTGCCAACCTGTCTGTCTGAGGAGTGCCGCAGTCTCCTGCTCAATAGACATGCGTTTGTCCACAAGCTGAAGTTTCAGAGCCAGGAGCGTAAATACATGGGCCCTAGGCTTGACTGTGTGCTCTTTCTGTCCTGAATGCGGTTGCTTTACCACCCATGGTTCACTGTTTTTCTTCTTGCTTGGGAAATGTGGCCTTTAGGGCACTTTGAAAGCCTCCAGAGGGGATTTGATCTTTCATCCAATTTTTGACTTCGTTCACAGGTTCACAAGCATAAAAACTTAGTTCTGTTTTACTATTTCAAAACAAATTTATTAGAACCATTAATTATCAAATAACAGCTAGCTTGATTATGACTCTTGGCTTGTTATGGGACATCTCAACTAGCTGCAAGTGGTGCACTAAGTTTGCTCACCTAAATGCAAAGTCATAGCAAAACTGTGATATAACTTAAAGTCAGCCGAGCCAACTGTAGCAAGCTGCTTTGATTAGTACGCACTAGAGATGAAACGATATTAAAATTTCATATCACGATTATCATGACCAAAATTATCACGATTATCAGTATTATCGCGATGTTGTTCAATTGTGTTGAAAAGTAAAATAAATAAATAAATAAATACTGATACACAAACTGAAACTTGTTTCACCAACTTTTATATTAACACAAATAGAATTGGCAGCAATATGCACTTTTTGTTTGCATAAACATAAAAAAAAATAGTCAATACATTTGTAGTATTACTTTTGTATTACTTACAATACTTGTAATACTCTGTAAACAAAAGAATAGCAAATGTATTATCATTACTGTTATTATTATTATTATTATTACTGTTGTAATTATTTTATTATTATTATTATCATTATTATTATTAATTACAATAACTAGAGATTTCCCTGCTAAGAGAATTAAATCTCGACCAACTCTGAGGTGGGTCTTAATGGAAAATTACTACTTCTAAGAAGTGCTGCACTCGGGGGATTTCTGTCCGAACTGCAACTGCAGCATTATTGTGCCGTTGTGGCGCTGTACCCCTAATCAATACAGTGCACCAGGAAAAACAGCCAAAATCGCAGAGGAATTGCGTGACCGCGCTGTGAGCTGCAGACAGTGTAGAACTCACACAGTGTGTCTTCACCTGTGGAGCTGCTTCTCTAAAAGCATTTTAAAACTAAAACATAACTTAAAATTAACATGCATCTGAGCTGCGGCAGAAACACTCCTAAAGTTTAATCTCTGAAACTCGGCTTTTCCCAAAAGCAGCAAACAGCGTTTACTCGCACAAGGTCCCGTCCCAAAGCACACTATCTTCCCTATGTAGTGCACTTCGTGGATCATGAAATAGCAAATCCTTCACCCGAAGAGTGCATGAAATGTTCACGATAACAATATATTAACAATAGGTTACAAATTCCCTATTTAAAACTCAGCTGCTTGTTAATGATGATCGTTTGTTTGAAAAGTAGCGCACTATGTAGGGGACATTGAGTGATTTGAGACGGTGTTATTCTCTTCTCAGACAGTAAACACTGCAAGCGAGACGAGAAAGGGGAGCTGTGCAGATTGAACTTCTGCAGCGTCTCGTTCCAGAGCTTGTGTGACTGTTAACTCAGAGCTCATTTTGGAGACACTGCTCCACAGAAATATGTTAAAAGCTTTAGTTTCGATTCACAGTTGATTCACCAATTTTTTTTTAGTTTATATATATTTTATTTATTTTTTGATGCTAAAAGCTTCATTTAATATTATTAACGAACCATAAGCATAAGTTAAACCACACAGACCATGACATTTCTTCTATTTCGAAGTCCCCACAGATTTCTCCTTTAAAGTTAACCTTGCATTCTCTAAAAATGCAAGCGAGTGGTGGTCACGAAGATGACTCGTAAGGTTTGATGTGTTGCCCCCTTTCGCCGCTATTTTCTTTCGGCATGTTCTGCAGACAGGGTGGTCATCTGCAGACAGGGTGGTCATCTTCAATTAACCTTCCTTCTGCATCCTTATAAAACCCAAAACATGACCAAACGTCAGACTTGGTCTTCCTAGAAGGCTGAAATATCTCAGAATCTCTGTCACTACATTCCGCCATGTACCCCGTCCTCCCCCCCCCCAAAATTAAAGTGATGTCACGAAATCGTGAATTTAGGAGTTTTTATTGGTTCTGTTGCATGTCTCAAATGCTTAGAGAGTACTGAAAGTGTGAATATGCTATACATTAAGAAGTAAAACAAAAACTGATCAAAGGCCAGCTTTTCCTACACAAACTAGCCACAGATCTGTGTTAAAGGGTAATGCTCACCAGAACTCGCAGAGAGCTTCAGAACTTCCCCCAATTAAGTTCAAGGCACCAGAGCCAATATGCTGCTGACATGCAGTCAGAGTTCTTTTGTGTTGTGTTGTTTGGTAAGGGTTTTGAGAGCCAAGCCCTAGGAGAGGAGAGAGGCTGTAGATTACAGTCTGGTTCTGTTTATTTGCATGCAGGCACAGCCTCAGCCACCTCTGGGGGGTCTACGCAGGGGAGCTTAAGGGGCTGAGGGAGGAATCAGATGCTGACGTGAATTGCCTCATCTTATTCAACCCACACGCGCAGAGAGAGTTCGGGTGAGAGGGATGGAAGTGGAGAGTAAGCACAAAAGAAAGACCCTCAAAATGCAAAAGAGAGATGTTCTTACCTCATCTTTTTACTTCATAGAAATCTTTAATATTTGTCCCTGCCCTCAGGGCACTATCTCAGAGACAGCAATTGCTAGGCATGCCATAGTTCAAGTAGGCACAAAGCTCCGGAACAGAGAGTGAGCAAGAGGGCCCCATACTGTGTAACGAAAGCAAACAAATCATGCAGACAGCCAAGACCCTGCCTAAACGAATCAAATGAACTAATCCGAAGCTCCGTGGTAACACTGTTATCTTTTTCCACAGGGCTCCTCGACGCCGCAGATGCTGGTGCAGAGGATGTGCGTTGCCCCCTGGTGAGCGGGTGTGACCGTGTGAGTGGCGAGTGTGTATGCGACACCGTACGCTCCTGCATCAGGACGTTCAGTTACCCGAATAAAGAGTTGTGTGGCCGTGCTGCGAAGACAGGTGAGGTTGATTGGAGAATGGTTTGAAGATTTTATAAGAATGGAGTACAGTCACAGTTTGGGGTATCTGGGATGGTTGCCATTACATCAAGGTCTCCTGGAAAATACTGCCCTATAGAGTTTAAAGTAAAAGTTTTCCTCTTAACACAAATGTAAATCATCAAATACTTGTCTGAAACTGTAGTGAGCACACTGTTATCTATCAAGATGAACAAAAGTTTGTCATGTAGTTGAAAACAGTAGTATCGGACTTCTTGAAGCTTGAAATTTGTCCATACTTTTGTCTGGTTTGAGACAAGTATGGGGATTTAAGAATGCAGTTTGCATAGTGCCAACAAGCTTTCATTGCTTGTTAGCTACATTAGAATCATAGCTATAGTGAGTTCACACTCTACATGTATTGAGTTTGAGGAATGAGGCACTTTTTTCTCTATTATTTTCTATAGGAGAAATGCATTGTGCACATTGGTTCTGCATGCTGGGCGCCTCACGTATGTGCCCTGCATGCCTGGGTTTAATGCTCTATGTGCCCAGAGTTAAAAGAAGTTCAATTTGTTCACAAGACTACATCATGAGCATTTTTTTTAATGCTGACCAATCAGATCAAAAGGAAGGTGTGCCTTCTGTGACAATTGTGATGGAGGAGGGATTACGGGCTGCAGCCGCTAGTGATGGGCATTCCGAATGCTCCAAGGAGATCCAGAAGGGAGGGTCCTGTGATTTTTAGCTACAGTGTCATAAGATCTACCCATTTGTTTTTGTCTTAATTGCTTATCAATGCGAGTCAGCTCCGCATGTTCACCTAAAAGAGAGGGTGTTCTAATGTGTTTTTCTACCATGTTGAAATGTCCTATCTTAGCACATCTTTATAGGTAGCTAAAACTGTGGACAGGATATTTTGATGGCCTACATCACTAGATGAACTTCTTTACAGTGGTGATGGGAATGAGGGGTAACGAGTCTTCAGGGATCTAGCCTAACCTATTTTTTTTTTAGCAAAAATGACACAACCTATACGTCTTCGGTTTTTTCATGTAATGTTGAAATAAAAGTCCCCAAATAAAACTTCTTTTGTTTAGATTTACAACTAGTTTGCCTCATAACACCCAGCATATTCATGGCCATAGCCATTTCATGTAATAGTTGTCTGTGAGTTATCTGTTATGTGTGATGAAATGCTTCATGTTTCGTTTGAACATTACAGTCAGATGTGTTAGTTTAGTGTTGTAGTAGCCTATAGGAACAGGAATCTCCAAGAAAAGGGATGGGTACCCCTGACCTACAGAATAAATGGCAGTTGCCTCATTGTCTTCATTTCTGTCTCTTTTTCTCTCTCAGAGGCTCGGCGGCATGAGCAGGAGCACAGGGAGAGACACAGGGAGAGGTTTGTGGGTCCTGTTAACCCAGCCTGCGTGTTCTCTGGCTGTAACCTGACCACAAAGGGCTGTGAGTGCACCTCCCAAAGCTGCCACCCCTACTTCACCTATGCCAACCGCAGCCAGTGCCAGCAAGCAGCAGGTAACTTAGCAAGAATCTATTGTTAACACTAAGATAAGCTAAGTATGACCACACATGAATGTTCTATATTTGTGTAATGGAGTGTGAGGTAATGGTTGTACAGTACAGATGGATATCATCTATTAGTGCTGGTTGAGCACTCAGAGTATCACAGTTTAAGATTAGGTCCCTTTGTTCATATAATTATATTCATTAGGAATTAAAGAGGCAAAAATGGATTCTAGATCAGCGCTCTTTCTGAGACGGTTTATAAATCAGTCCCACAAGGATCTCCCAGCCGTTTTTTATTGTTAAGGACTGAAATGTTTGATTTTGCAGCAGTTTTTCCCATTTTTTTTTGTTTTTTGAGGAACAGGGTAGAGGTCTGCGCAGTACTGTGTTTTCACTCCTGCTTCAGCCCACTCCCACAAGTTTCATTCCGCTCCCGCAGAAAATATGAATCATTTGTCCTGCTCCCGCCCACAACGGAAACGTTTTGGCCTGCTCCCGCCCATGCACTTCTGTCAAGGCGAACTCACTCATTCACTCATTCACTCACTCACTCACTCACTCAATCACTTACTCACTCACTCACTCATCATCTAACCCGCTTATCCTCCTGGGTCCCGGGGGGTGCTGGAGCCTGTCCCAGCGCTCATTGGGCAGAAGGTAGAAAACACCATGGACAGGTTGTCAGTCCATCACAGGGCATCCAGGCGAACTGACTTCCAATATTTGGCATAGTCTATTCACAAATACATTATCCTCTGCCAAAATAACACAGTAGTCATGGACATCAGGCTTACTGTGAAGTAACTTCACCATGCACCATTTATTCCCAGTGAACACAAAGAAAGAATTAAACCACAGAACAGTTCTCATGTATATATATATATATATATATATATATATATATATATATATATATATATATATATATATATATACATACATGAATTTACTTTATTACATTGTTTAGGCTTTTTATTAATTTCCGAGATTTCTTCATGCTCTTCATGCATGCATGCTTCTGCTCCCACCTTCAGTGGGCTGGTTACCTGCCTGGTCCCACAACAATTTTGCATTATTACATTGTTTTCATCCTGCTTAATGGAAAATGGTCAGGTATTGGTTTGCCTTGTCTTCAGCTGAAATGCATTGCGTGCAAAGTGTGATCTCTAGATCATTTGTGGCTTCCCAGTATGAAGCTCAAAAATAGAACACGTACAGTAATTGTGATAACAATGCTTCATACATAAACTACTGAAATGGGACAAAATTTTGCAAATATTGTGAGGATTGGTCGAATCTGCATGAATTTGTGAATGCGAATTTCATGAAGAACTGATGAATATGAACGACATTGGCACAACAGTGCCTAGACAAGATGTGAACATGAACATGCTTAGAGTGCAAAGAAATATAATTAACAAGCAGCTCAAGAACATATTGAAAGGCACATATTGAAAAGGTGCTGTTGACCGTAACCCAACCACGCTAGGATGTTGTTCCAGCCATCTTTGCGTCACTGCAAGACCTTAGCATATTTTTCATGCTGCTCCACCAAAATCTCTGTGACGCTTGGTTGAGTTCAGTGCTACAGGATGGAGTGCAAAGCGTGAGGCCAAAGTAAATCTCCCAGCAATGCAATGTGCCAACACTCAACCAGGCTTTACAAAGCAGTTCCACCAAATGAAACGGAAAACCACACACTGCATACAACCACGTGGACTGAGAACAAGTCCAAACTGCACTGAGTCTGTCCAAATAGCAGTAAGAGTGGTGTATGTGTATTGGCAGGATCTTATACTTGTGGTCAGGAAGCAGTGAGTGATTGACAGCGGAGATGATGAAGTGATGAAGGCTCAAGCTGTGGATATAAATGCAGTAGAGCCCCTTTTCCTCAGTCTCAAGTAGCTTTTCTGAATGGAACTATGCTTGAAAGGTATTCTGGTTTCGTGACACTGTTGGCTAAGGGACATAAGGTCCATTATAATGACCTACTATATGCTCTTACTGTATGTCAGTGTATACTGTGTCAGAGAGAAGTGGTTCAATTTGACATGGAAAGTGTAAATTCCCTGTACTTTGCTGCAAATGTCAGGCCTTATTGCAGTGGGCAAAGTTTGTCTGATTTATTCACTTTCATCACGTCATTTGTTTAGATAGCTAGACTGTGTTTTATGCTCTCAGCACCCTTTTTTGCCTTTTGCTCTCTTTTTAGACTGTAGTCATAATTGTAAGCAATATTGTTAATATTGACCTGTTACATAGTAAGGCTTAATGCAACTGGCAGTGTGCCATAATGACATGTTTAGCTTATTAAGCAGTGGGTCGTAGGAGCAATTACAGTCTCTTGGCTGTATGTTTTGATATTTGTAAAGAACAGTTGCTATAATAAATCTCTAAGGACTTGTGAGAAACAGAATTCATATTGTTTGATGCAGCAGTAAGAGTCATTACATCCCCCCTGTCATAATGAAATATGCAGTTCACCATGAAAAACACTTTTCAAAAATGCAAGACACATCCAAGAAATCCACCATTAGAGAGAGTAAACAACATTTTTCAGACAACCAATGGAGAGGTGACTTTTACAGTGTGTGTATTTACATAAAGTAGTGCGCAAAAGTTAGAGACCACCCTTCATTTATTTAGGTTCATGTCAAAATGGCCATTTAGTACAAGTTATTCATTTTTCAGGAGATATTTCTTAGATTAGAAAAAGATAATCTGCTTGCATAGAGAGGGGAAAGTCAGAGGAATATAAGTGAATAAAAACAGGATTTTTCAAAACTGGAGTTCAAAAAATGGGAAGTTCAAAAAATCTTTCATCTTTGAGAGAAAGAGAAAATCAAATCCCTCTTGCTTCAGATCTAAAAAATACACAGGTTTCTGTCCGTCCTTCCACTGTGAGAAGACAACTCAGACTCTATGAGTCTGAAAGGATGTGCAGCTGTCAAGAAGCTGTTACTGGAAAAAGGAAAAAGAAAATTTGCAAATGAAATAAATTGGCCACTGATGATCTCAGAACAATGGACTGACCACCACACAGACCTCAACATCATTGAATGTGTTTGGGATTTCTTGGATCATGAGAGGCAGAAAGTGCAAACAACTTCTAAGACTGAACTTTGGAGGTGTGAAAATATCCTGGCAGATTTCTTAAAAACTGAAAGTCTTTCAAAAAAAAGGCCAGGTGGACTCACTACATCCTGAATGTGATGTGATGATGCATTTAGTTTTTAAAGCTTCTGTGTAATTTTCTGTTAAGTTTATGTTTTCTGCAACTTAATGCTGAAAAATGAATAGGTTGTACGAAATGGCCATTTTGACTGGACATGAAACACATCAAGTGTGATCTCTGACTTTTGCAGTGTACTTTACATATATTAAAATATAACGTATTTGAAAAACATTACAAGCCCAGGTAGCTATGTGTTACCAAAATTTTTGCAATTAGCACATTGACAGGAACCAAATAGGCAACATAAGGCATGAACACGTTTTATGGGAGTTGAATGTTCTCATATTCAGTGAGCACAAGAAATCAGTTGAAACAAGTTCTCTGAAGTGTGTAAAGACTTGTAGGGAATCCTGGCCTCTGTCACTCATGCATACAGTGACTCAATGGCCTCTTCTCACGCAGTGGAACATGAAAGCAGACCTTGTTGCTAGTTTGTTTATTTGTGAGTAGGGTTTTTTTTTCAGCATTCGTTTTAATGTACACATATATACACACATCTCAGACTGACTAACGTTAAGATTACTTGTCTCTCATTGCACACAGTTTGCAGACGTTTGCCGCGCTGTCTGCTAAGAGCTAAGTAGTTTAAAGCTGCCGATTGGTGGAAGCATATTTTATCCTTCAGTTACCAACGGTGATGCTGCAGTTGCATGTGCTCTCAATTTTCACAGGTTAATGATTGGTAAGAACTTGGCAGCCCTGAGCTACCACTGCGTTTGGCTTCACTTTAAAGGAGAAAAGGTGTTAGAGATAGCTGGCTTTGGCTCAAGTTCAGCTGTTTTCATTTAATTCCTACTAATTCCATGCATCTTCTTGAACAAAAATCAGCAGTTGTGCTCCATTTCACAGTGCCTCTCTGCCTCCTTGAATCACACAGACCATTTTAGTGGGTGTAACGCATTCAATCATTTATATTAATGAGCCACAGCCATGATTGGCCGACAAACGCTTCACTGTCTTCCAAACCACCCCTCAAAATGAAAACAAATTTACCCAATGGGCTGTACTTGTTGGCTCAATTACAAGTGAAAATTGTAAATAATCATTCATTTATCCTGGACGATGATGGTAATCAAATTAAGCTATTCAAATTTTTTTTTAACTGATTTTAACTGAGACAAAACCAGCTGCCACTGTGCAGCACATCTAAAGCATCTCATGACCACAGTAAAAACATGTTTCTCCACACTTTAAAGTTATTTAAATGTCATCATTTTAATCTGATAAACCAGTCATGGAGAAGCCACAGATGCTGACTGACACGGATGTTGAACTATCCTTCAAGACCTTTGATATATCGTAATTGATTTTCAAAATTCAGTCATGATATGTTATAGCTCACGAAAGGTTAAGAGGGCTGTGATCTGTTATAGTGTATATAACACTTTATTTTTAAGATAGGCACATAAGCTGGCACAAAGTTCAGTCAAGGTCATTCTAATATACTTCTAATATGCATTTATGTTTCTGCTTTCACTTTAAATCTGAAGTTGACCCAAATTAGATGGTTAAAAATGTTACTAGGAAAAATAACTTTCGCCTCTTTTAGTTGAATCTTAATTGACAAATTATGGATGTATGAATAACACTATTTTAGTTGGCTTTCTGGTTTCGTTTTCTTCTCCTATAGTTGGGAAGTTTTTCAACAGTGCCTTCACATTTTACCTTTTATCAGCAGCATAACTTTAGAGTAACAAGTACTTTGACACGCTGTATGAAAAAAGCCATTTACAATATTGCAATATTTTGAGAACAAGTTAGAAAATTGGCCAGC